CACTCTGCCGCCCGATCGAAGCCACGGAACCTGTTTGCTCGCGCGAATCGGCCCACGGGTGCCACCCCGCCCACCGCCCGCTGCCACCCTCCGCCGCCCTCCTCAGGCCCAGGCGACCGTCCGCCTTGGCTAGTTCTACGAACGGGACCGGTCACCCGGGACACTTCGATCAAACGGGTTTCTTAAAACGGGCGCCCGGCATAATGGATTCGAGGGACACAGTGTATACCGACGAATAACTAATGTGGCCCATTGGCGCAGTGTGCAGGGTCAGCCCGCCCGGTTGCTCGCCACAAGCGTCCCGGCCCACAACGGAGAGCGGCCGGCGCCCGCGTTGGGACGTTGCTCGGCCTGGTTTGGGTCTCGCCTGGTTCCAACGAGTAGCCTTCTCTTGGAGACATTTTGCATTGCGATTATGATGCAACTTTTCATCTCTCTCAAAAGTTATCTTATAAATTTGAAGAAGCTTTAGCGCTAATCGGTACAAATTAGTACAAATGTTCTACTAATTGGTACAAATGTTTCCGTAGATAGTTAGGGTTTATGATTACTCGGCTCTATTTGCAAAGATAATGCCAGTGCATCTGAAATGTAATTATTTACACATTTTTTTGAAAAGAAACATTCCATTTGTGAGCAAAAGCCTCGAGTTAAGAACGGGAGTGTATTATATAGACGAGCCTTACTTGTTATTGAACGCTGTAACGTAAAGCGTTTAAAAATTTTGTATCATTAATATGACATTCGACTTTGTTTGTACCATTCCTGTGTTTATGATCCAAATTCATGTGTAGTAACATGTGATTGATATTACAGTACAACAGCCTCCTCTCAAATACACAAATAATTTTCCCACATTCCACTACAACTGTAACTGTTGAAGCTGCCATGGATACATGTCATGAATGGAAGAGGAAAAATATGAAGCAAAAAGAAACAAAAGATGCTTGTTAGTTCTTATAGAAGGGTATTGATAGTTTCAGATAATCCTTGAACGAAGATAGGTATATGATTGGCTTATTTATCAACTCTTTGAAAACCTAAGAGTTCATTCAAATTTCAGACATAAACAACAGGTAATGCAAATAGGCACAACTATATGTTATAAAGAATTATGTTAAAAATCACATTCTCGTATTGTAAGAAATTAATATTTCTGTTCCAGATATCAATCCATGAGTGCTGTAATTTTCCGTTATTAATCGAGTAAAGTATGTTCTTTATAAATTCGTGCAAACTTGAGAGTACAGGGTTTAACACAAATAGCGGATTTCACATCTACTTTTGGGGGGCGCCGTGGGAACGGGGCGCTATAAATAATTAAATGACCATAATCGAATTACTGTCGGCGCAAACTGCCGCTGTGAAATATCTGCACGCAACCATTCGAACACAAACTAACCTCAGCGATTCCACCATGGCCAGAACGAGAGCTTTTTGGAAAGAAGAACGCACTTGTGTCTGGATGCTGAAACACCTTTCCAGCTATCGGCTGTTATTAAAATACCGTTCTCTCTTTTACGAGAAATAAATCACGTAATCAGCGCCGATGACCGAACCTCCATAAAGCATGCGGCCGGATTCAGTAAGTGCGGGGCAGGGAAAGGAAGGGAGGGTGGCGTGGGTGGGGCTGAGCGCAGGGGAGGGGAGGGGAGTGGCTTTATGGGTGGTAAAACTAAGTGAGCGGGTCGGCTGCGGGAGCGTTACGATGACCATCTAGTCCAATAACCGCGATGTCCAAGCTCAATCTGAACGAAAGTTGCGATGCCGAGGAGAGGGTCCTGCTTCCCCTTTTTCTCCCTCCTCCGCCCTCATCCCACCCCACCTCACCCCATCTACACTGCTCTGGAGACTCGAGGGCCACTTCCTCCCATTGATGTTCGCCGCAGAAAATGTTGGCCACAGAGGACGAAGCGAGGCGGCTTTCCAGTTTTCATATTCAAGCGGTGTGCAACTCTTGCTGCCAGATACTGCCCATTGGAGGGAGATGCCGCGGTGGTAAATGGCTGTATCTCGAGGCCAAATCACTGAAACATAAGTATAAACGACGAGATGAAATTCGTTACGACGGGGTTGATGCTCGTTTGCTGTAAATAAGCTGCGAAGTAAACATGATCACTTTACGCCTGAGTTAGTACGAGTACAGTTCGTAGAGAGTTGATTTTCGACGAAACCGAGGAAACAACAGCAGTTTTAATCCTTTCATTTACAGACTACATATTATAACGCGAATATGTTCCAAAATAGGTATACCACAGTAAAAATAATTTGAAAATTCTAGAAGAGAATTTTTATAAAATTACAAACGTATTTTAATATTTCACGTCACATTAAGGATAATCACATATGTAAGATATTGAATTTATTCTCAATGATAATGCTTAATTTCATTGAGTTATTAATGCTATTCATTCGTTATGTGATGCTACCTAAATTTGCTAGCTGAAACAGAATACGGTTACCTAGACTCCACAACCTTTCCTTTAGGGTTCCTGGATTTGAAAAAAATATTGTGGGACTTTAACTATTCTAACTAGTAGAGAATAATTTGTTCCGCCTGATTAACAGTGAAGTCAAAAGGAAATGTACGATACGTTCCAGAAACATTGTTTCATATATGAAACCCCATCACAGATAATAAATATTCGTAGAACTTGACAAAATTGAAGTAATCTTCCTGATTGTCAGTTATATTTGATTCAATAAAAGACGCACCCACAGTTTTTAAGACCATTTATTGTTTGTAATTATCACGACATTACGTAACTTTATTGGTTATATCTCGTACCAGACGATGTAACGGATAAAGTTACGAAACGCTGTACTAATTACAAACAATAAATGATGTGCATACGTTTTTATTGAGTAAGTAATTGTTTTATTTGGGATTAATATAGTTTTTGCGACTGTGAACACTGTTGTTACGACTGAGAACTGGAAGAAAATGCATTTAGTATTGCCGATATTCATGCTAACTGGAATGATCTGGAATGATCATCTGTCAAGTTGATGCATTGCAGTAGAGTCATTATCAAACAAGTAATATATTTTTCAGACGGAGCAAGTTCGCAATATAAAAACCGGAAAAGCTTTTCACGAGATTTTGGTGTAAATCCTGAATGGAATATCTCTGCTACTTAACTGGGGAAAGGGCCATTTAATGGTATTGGCAACACCTCCGAATGATTCGCTACGCGAGACAGTCCGCAGTCACTTCAGGATCCAATTACAACACCACAGAAATGATTCGAGTGGGCAAAAAATGATAGTGGTTTTCCTTTATGTTTTTGACCATTAATGATCAGAAAAGAGAATGTTACATATTTAAATCCCGCTACGAAGAAGTGAAACTAGATATGCAAAAATACACTTTCGTGGATCAAAAACATCAAATCGTAAAAACTCAAAGTCATCATAGTCTACTTTTCATCGAATTCGTTTGATTTGACGTGTGAATGTCTCAGTGGTAATATCGTAATCAAGGAAGTTCATCTTCGGTGCACGTTGAAATTGAGTAATTGATGAGGAAATTGGTAGTCAATGTAAATTCCCCGGTGTCATTTTAAGCAATGCAGAACACTCACAATCTTGTTTCCCAAAAATGTTGGACAAAGGTAACCGTTTTGGAACTCATTTTCAGCAAGAACGTGCGGACCAATTTATTTTCACAGATATCATCTGATTGCGTCCATGATTGACCCAACAATCAAGACTCTTTCAGAAAACAAAAAAACATTATTTTGATTTCAAGTTTTACACATAAAAATCTTCCTTAATTTTCAAAAGTGGGCCCTAAAGGTATCACATGGGTTTTGCCTCATAAAAATACTAGTCGAAATAAAATTCAAACACAGCTTCAACGTAAAATTAATATGAGATTAGTGTCTCTCTCTCTCTTTTTACAACATTCATAAGTATTGCTTTCGGCACAACATACACACACATCGATTATGTTCGTGTTTACGATTGCTTTAATAAAATGTTTGCATTAATGTAATACTCATCATAAATGATAACACATTTTAATAGTAATCAATCGGGGAACATTCCAAGAATACGTAAAGTCGTTTTTACAGGGGAGCTTTATTTCTAATAGTAATAATACGTCATAACAAAATTCAATATTTTTGGCATTTTTCCACATAGTCGGCAACTGAAATTGACACCTTGACATTGACACATTTGTTGTACTGTGAAATCACCTTCAAGAAATCTTCCGTGTACAAACTGTAGCCAAGTAATTTCAGAAAGTTGTCTTCAGATTAGTGTACATTTTCGTTATTTTCGAAGTAGCGGCCACATAGTGATGACTTCAAAGCAGAAAAAAGTCTGGGGCAAGATTTGGGTTAGTGATGGAATGTCTTCCAACGCGTCGAATGTGTTCTGCAGTGACCCTTGCAGCATAGGGTCTTCCATTAACACCATCGAACACCTTCGTGTCTTCCTACATCGAATGGCGGACGTCGGATTGCTTAGTGTTTGACAATGGCATGTTGCATCGACGGAACGTGCTGTGAGGAACCCAAAGTGACACCTTTTTTTTCCAGAATCCTGTCAACAATCTTCCCTGTGAAATGCGACATCTTTTTCTGTCAGGCGTCGACAGTTATTGCCATTCTTGTAGTCTTAATGTGGGGATGAAGAAACTAGGCAATCACCCGGCAGAGACTTATAGATATTCAAATAAATATAGCAATCGTCTGCGCTCAGGCACTACCGTCTGCTGCTTATCTCCTCTAGTGTTGCTTCTCAGCTCTCGTGAACTGAGGAAGGATTGTCGTTTCTTGCTTACGGCACTGTTTTCCTCCTTGTAATAAAGTTGTCCAGTGGATAAATATGAAGCCTACTTTAGGACGGACGTTTGTAAATTAAATATTCTGCCCGTACAGTGTTGAAGACTATAATAGAAAAGTTATTTTAAAACTGTAAAAAATTAAGAATCGTAAAAATATAACTGATTTTTTGATTGCCTGTATCATTTTTGTCACTATAATCTTGCAGATATTTTCATTATAGAAGCCAGTTTTGGCGTCAGACGATTTGTTTGTGCATATTACTTCAACTTTATTGTACATATGTTGAAAATACAATATCACTGAAACATTTCATTTTTAAAAATGTTTTCTTCAGATATATTTCTACATTTAAAAAAAAGGCCCAGCCCAAACATACTGAAGCGAGCAGCACCACTTGCACTGTTCCGGCCAACAAGCTCTACTTTCGGAGCAGAGGGTTTGGGGGTGCAGCCGAAAATTCGGCCGCGGGCGATGCGCCGCCCGGGTGTCCAGCGGCGCGCGGGGGGCGTAGC